AGCGGCGGCGCCGAAACCGTCCGCTGAGGACACACGGCGCGAAGCTGCATCGAAGGCCGACAGCCGCGCCGTGCCGGCCGCGCCGGAGCCGTACGACGTACGACGGGCCTGTAGTAGCCCGACAAGGCATGTTGGGCAAGGAATTTGAATACGAAGGGGGGAGCGGCTGCGGGGTTGCCTTAACTAGACCCTAGACGCACGCCGCGGGACAAGGTGATGGGGGATGGGGAACGCCAAAACACAGCTGCTGAACGTGGGCTACCGAACGTGCCGTGCACACCGTACGACAAGGAGGAGCGAGATGGAACAAGAGAGGCGGCAGCAGGAGGGGGAGCAGATGGGCGCCCACACATACATACATACATACATACATACATACATACATACATACATACATACATACATACATACATACATACATACATACATACATACATACATACACACACGCGTAATGTTCGCGTCCACGTCACACGCGACACCGCTGCCCTTGCGGTACCCCGTCGTATGGAGCCCCCGTACACTCCCCCCCAGCAGCCACTCAGCCACTGACCGCCGAAGGACACGTCACGTCCCTCAATCGATTTACCCCTGTACTGCACTGCTTCCCCTACTACTCCCCAACAGCGGGCCCCAACTGCCCCACATACGTACAGGACCCGCCCCCGCCCCCCAAAGCAATTGTTTGAGAAACCCTGATCCACCACCCACCCCGATTTGTCTCCTAGATACGAGAACCCATGAACATACATGAACGTACACCACTCTATATGCTCTCGCTCTGCATGTCCCTTCCCTTCCCTATTTCACAGCTCCAGCTCCCTCCCACTTGTGACACTACACCACCTGCCCACCTGCCACCCCACCTTTTGGACCGCCAAGACCTGAACAGGGGAGTTGTCGAAGGCTCGCTCCGCGCCCCGTCGCAACGACCTGATGGGAGCAGCACGTCCGTACAGTTCGCCGTCGACGTCATCGCCGCCACCGCCGTCAGGTCGTCCCCCCCCCGCAGCAGCAGCAGCAGGAGGCTTGGCGGCCAGGAAGCTGTCCGGAAGCAGGGCCGCCGCCGCTGCTGCTGCTGCTGCTGCAGCGGACGTTGTGGATGGAAAGCCGCTGCTCGAGCGCCTCTTGGCGGCAACCGCCGACATCGCGGCTGCCGCCGCTGCAGCGGCTACAGCAGCAGAAGCGGCGATAGAGGCAGCAGCAGCAGTAGCAGTAGCAGTAGCAGCTCCGGGACACCTGCGCAAGCGCGAATGGGAAGCGGCGCGTGGTAGGAAGTCGGGGCAGGTTCTTGCGGGCCACTTACATGTTATACAGCGATGTGAAGGAACGGCTTTTTAGTTTAGGGAAAGAAGGGGCATCCCCCCACGCACACGCACCATTTACCCCCCCCCCGTATCCCTCTCCCCATACGAGAGAGGCATTTCATATCGTTATGTATGTACATCGTGATATATGGCCCCGCACATCGCTCTGACCCCCTCAGCTCCTAAACCTGCCAAGACCAACTCACGGGTTCGCGCCTCCGTCGGGAACAAGTCCCGACACGGACAGCTGCATATCCGACATCTCCGCCTCTCCAGCGCCACCGTCGCACTCGCCGTCACTCTCCAAATAGAAATCGTCCTCCTCCTCCTCATCTTCCTCGTTATCGTCGTCGTCGTCGTCATTATCGCCGTCGTCGTCATCATTATCGCCGTCGCCATCATCATCGTCATAATCGTCATCAACCCCGTCTCCCACAGACTCGGCAGCGTCGCGGTCAGCATCACGGTCGGAGCAGCTGGCACCTCCATACGCGAACAGATCATCAAGCGTCTCGTCGTCGAGCTGAAAGTCGATATCGCCCAGGTAGTCTTCCTCCAGCTTGACTTCGGCTTTGACCGGGGGCTCCGCGCTGGCCGCCGCGGCGTCGGCTGCGTCGGCTGCGGCTGCGTCAGCATCCTCCGCCGCCTCTTCAGCCTCGCGCTGCTCAGCCTCCGCCAAGCTTCGAAGCCGCTCATTGCCAACCTGGGCAGCGGCGCGCACGGAGCGGCGGCGGCGGTAGTTGCCAATTGCCGCTGCTGCCGCCGCATCCGCTGCAGCTCGCGCCTTCGCCATCTCCGCGGCACGTGCTGCAGCGGCAGCGCTGTACGGCCCAAGCTTGATGATTGTCCCTCCGCCAGTTGCGCCGGAGCCAAGCCCATTACACGACAATCGTTTAGGAGCGGTGCGCGCCTGGACAGGTGCCTGTACGGCGGCCGACGCGCCGATGGGAACGCCGTCGCTGTCGCGGCCGCCGATGATGCCGCCGCCACCGCCTGCATCACTGATGCCACCGTTACCCCTAGGGGTACTGTTGCCACCGGCGCCGCTGCTGCCGCCAGTACGTCTAGCACCGCCCAGAGGGGCAACGCCGCCACGACTGTTGACGCCCCTGCCGCCGCCGCCGCTGCCGCTGGCGCCACCGCTGCTGCCGGCGCCCCCGCGGCGGGTTGCAGGACTAGGTGGCCAGGATCGTCCGGCCGCGGCAGATGCGCCGAGGTTTAGGTCGCCGCCAACGGCGCCGCTGCTGCTGCCGCCGGCGCCCCCGCGGCCTCCGTCGGCGTCAAGTGCTCGCATGCTGCCGCGGCCGCCTCTCGCCGCTGGGCGTCGTCGTCGTGTGGGCTCCGGCGCGTCCGAGTCGCAATCTTCAAGACCTCCGAGACCCTCCGAGGCATCGTCGGAACCAGAATCCTCACGCTCTCTGCAGGAGATACATCCAGGGCATATCCAGGGTATATTCAGGTCCCGCTCCTTGGAAAGTGTCAAGATCTTGACATGGTTCATGTAACAGTGATGATCGGCCAAGGGTTGGGCCTCCGTTCCCCCGCACGTCACGCCACTCCTGGGATGGCGGAAACGCGCTGGAACTCCGGACAGCCTTCCAAGGAGCTTCGAAGCAGAGCAGAGCAGCACAGAGCAGAGCAGAGCAGGATGGCTGAGAGGACCCGGGAGTTTGGAACAGAGCAATCCGCAACAGTAAATGCCTCTCCCTCTCTCCTCTGCCTTCTACTTAGCAGGACAGGGAAAAGAAGAAGAGGCAGGGCCCGTGTTCGGGTAGATGCAGTAGTGTTGGGGGTTGACGGAACGGCTGCGTCCCCCCAAAGGCCTCCAGACTCCGGGCCAGGTCGGCCATGGAACCCGCTGAAACCCGCAGTAGTCAGTTAGGCGTTTTGGTTGTGTTGGGAAGGGAATGCCGCTGGTTGCGGTAAGGATGATGATTGCCAATCTTAAGGTTTAGATCGGGAGAGGGATGGACAAACTAAAATCAACCGGTCATTTCGATCCAGTTCGGAGATATTAATGGGCCGGGCCCGTGCGGAACCGGTGAGGGTGATTGTGGTGGTGACGTACGTGGCAATGCAAGTGTGAAGGCGGCTTAGGCGGCTGAAGTCGGGATGCGAATGTGGGGAAGGGGATTTACCTCTGCAGTTGGGTGAAGGTTGGGTTATTGTGGGTTGGGTTGTGCGATGTGGGATTGCATTCAGTCGGGTGAAGTTGGTTAAGGAGTTGGTTTCTTCACCCTGCCAGGTGAGATCAGGGTGGGTTCGACGTGTTGCAGGGATTCAGCTTCCGGTTTTGAGGACTGAGGAGGTCAGGCAAGACCCACCGCCCTTGATGCATGTGGTGCCTGGCATTGTGCAAAACGGACTTGGATGCGTTTGGCATAGACCGATCGGTCAGTGAGCCGCTGGGCCAGTGCGTCGGCCATTGGACGGGCCAGTGCGTCGGCCGTTCGACGGGCCAATGCGTCGGCCGTTCGACGAGCGATTCGACACGGAATCACCGCACTACCGCCCGCCACGCGCTGACACTGGAGCGCCATTGCGAAGGTAATGAACTAGGTAGGGATGCGGGCGAGAAGACTGCGAGCAAACACTCGCATGTTCTAGTACAAAAAGAAGACATGGAAACGGACCAAGTGGTTCAAAATCGTATTTTACGGGTAGCGCAACATAACCAAATTACAGGCGAGTGACAGACAGACATATGAACTTCATCAGCGGTGCAGGGGAAGAGTGGTACATAGGAAAACGGGATGAAAAGTGACCGTGGCCGCGACTGCCTCTTTCATCAGCCGCTGTGACCGATGTCACAGAGCAAGAGGTACTTGTGCGCGCGACATGGAAAACTGCGACGAATCGCACAGGCATATCCTGGATGCAGTGCTGGCGTGATCGATACAGCGGGCGTTACGATGAACGGTACGACCAGCGTTGCGACCTTGGGCCACTCGCATGTGTTATGACGAGCGTTAAAGACCGTGGGTCGCTAGGCGAAGCAGGAGCACGAGCCGCCGCGTCAGGCAGCAGACCAGAAAACTGAAGTTCCACATTGCGCAAAGTCAACACCCAAACCCCCGGCTAGGCTTCGTGGACCGGTAGCGCATAACCATCGAAGCAGCGGGCACGCAGTGCGAAAAATCTTCATTTCGCTACGGCTTACGGCTTCCTTCCACGTCCACAAATGCAAAGCCCGCACCTTGCGGAGTGGCAAGGTTAGACCTTTCCGTAGCCCAGGTTGAATTAAAACAAAGCGCGCCGCGCGAGTTTAACTTTTAGTACCAACTTGGCTGCGATGTGTAGAGCAGTTGCTAATTCGAGCGGCAAAAATGTTTATTCGCAACCGCTAGACCAAAGCAAAGCAAAGCAACACATATGCGCTGGCCGGCAGGTCAAGGTGCGCCCGCCGACAGTCCAGATATACATCAGAGCCGCCATGCCGCATTCACTGCACAATGCCATGATTGCGTGCCCGGCTATGCGAATCCAGCAGAGCTTCGCACCCCTACAACCGCCAGCCGGTCCTACAGCGGCTCTCACTTCACGCCCCCACCTGCTCGCACGCCGGGCCTTGGTTCGCCGGCCGCCGCCCTGGCCACCCTTACCCCCTGAACCGCCGCTTCGCTTCCGGGGCGGCACAGCCAGGTTTAGTGTGTCCAAGTACTGCTTGAGAGGCCCTCCAACCTCATTATCGAGGAGCCGCTTACGAAGCGTGGCGTTCCAATGATTCTGCGGCACGGAATGGGAGTGGAGGGCTGGAGACACAACCACGTGGCGTGCGACTCGATGAAGCCCGTGTACGCAAGCACACCTAGAGAAAGCGGGTGGGACCCTAGGTTAGTACGCCAGCAGTGCGGGCACATCTGAGTACCGCTGAGGAGACGCCGAGGAGAAGCTGTGATCCATGCAGCAGGCTAACGGCGAGAGGGCGGCGTGGATGACATACTAAGGGTTAGGAACGGCGCAGGGGCATTGGTGCGAATAGCGAAATCTTGGAACGTAGATGGGAAAATAGTTTTTTGATGTTCGTGGTATTGCTCGATTTACATGAATTGAATTTAGCTTGCCATTCGCGAGGCCAAGGCGGCTTTGTGTCCAAGTTGATACAACTCATCGACAGCCAAGGCTTCGGATCAGATATCTACGACTTTTTATCAATATACATATATCCAGCTGGTGATAGACTTCAAAGAAAGCAGGTGCGGCGGCTCTCAACCGAATATCGTTCAACTTCAGTAACCTTGATAGGAGAAGCAGCAGGATCTGTGTAAAACAGTGTAATACCAGAACTGGAAAGCCATGATGGTTAAGACTGAACAACAAAGACAAGAAAATTTCACGTGTTAGGGCCCTCGACCGTGCGAGAGCGCGCCAGGGTGTGACGTAAAAGGGGAAAACGAATCTACGCGAAAGGCCAGGGTACTGTAAATTGGGAAACGAGTGACCCTTTCGTCATAAAAATTGATACAGTTTGATGTAGTGCTGCTGGGTACAGCAAAGACGTTGTTTAGTCAAGCCAACTGCCCAGGAATGCAAATACGCAGCAGATTAAGACAGTTCATGCGCAAAACGCAACATCGCACCTTAACCGCATTTTCGCTGCGGCCTGGGATGCAGCGAGCGATGTCGCTCCACTTGTTGCCTAGCCTCCTGTGTGCATCTGCCAGCAAGATCTCCTCCTCTGGTCCCCATGGACCCTTGCGAAGTCCAGGAGAGAGGTGATGATTCCATCTTTCACGGCACTGCTTGCCGATGCGCCCCGTCGACTCTGGATTCTTCATTAGTACGTTTAACGCGCGTGCTATCGGGCTCCAGTTGCCCTCCCCGTATTCCAGCACCAGCCTGCGACCAGCAAAAACAGGCAATGGTCCTTGTAAGGAAACAACACATTTCGTGGGGAGATAGGCTTGAGCTCGTTCCCGGCCCAATCCTCTAGGATGGCACCTTCCTGCCACATCACCCTAAGCGAATCTACTCGCCAGCCAAGATACAACAACAAATCCTTTTGGGTTGGCCCGCAGGCCGCTCCAAGCGTAGGCTAAAAGCGTTACAATCAACGGATATTGTCATGAATGTGATCAAATTCCACCAAAGCATAATACATCACCTGGCTAGGTGAGCATCTTCTTCCGCAGTCCATCCGCCTGCTCAGCAAACGAGTCGCAAGACGAAAGGATTTTCTTGTTGAGTCGAGCGGCGCCCAAGGTCTTGACGAAAGGGGACTTGCAACCCGGACAAAGGGCCTGAAGATAGACATGAACAGAAACAAACTCACCTTTTTGTTTGGCGATCGGATGCCTTGGGCCTGCGCAGCGCTTCGACATTTTTTGTCGGGCGCTGGCAGGCTCAAGGCTGACAAGGCTCACACCACCACACAAGCAGAAAGCGCTCTAAATAGCATCAACATAAGCAGCGTTTCTCATAGGGCTGGCTAAGTGCGATGGTTCGCGTGCAGTGCTGTCCTCTGAAGGCTTGCTGTGCCTGCAACACCCTAATTCCTCAACCTCATGGCAAAAACAATGATGGCGCAAAGGGGAGCACAAACCAGGCGCCCAATTATGTGATATGAGGTTAGCCGTTAAAGTTAAGAGGTACTAAATGCACTGCCAAGGCCTTTCACAACGAAGCCTTGCACCGAAACAACTATTTTGCCTATGCTCTCAACATTGTTCGACCATTTTATAATCCTACATGAAGAAAGTTAGGATGAAAGCTTGGGAACGGCAGATTCGTAGGCCTGTCCAAGACGACTGTTTGCCGTCCGTCCACCCGTACGGAAACAAAGACCTGAGAGAACCTACGCCGAGTTCAACGAACTATCACATGAAGATTATGGCAATTTGTATGTTGAATGTCATGGATGACCCCAAAATAGTATGGAGCTTGCCATGGTCCAGCCGACTTTGCAGGACTCTTCCACAGCTGAGCAAGGTTTGTACTGGGCATTTACCATAGCTCATTTTATTTAATTATGCGATTGTTTCTTCCTTGGATGTTACACAAGCCTGAAGGAGAACCACGGGCCAAAAATTCGTTATTCGCAAAGGACGAATCCTGGACCGTCCTGGCAAAGTAGCTTTTAGCCCCGTATCTATTCATTCTTTGTAATGGCCACACTGATTTCACTCAGTGATGGATGCCGAGAGCAGCTATCGCTGCAACCATGTCCCCCGGGCCTTCTCAAGCGGCGCAAGCTGAAGAACCTGGGATCCCGCATTAACATGAAGGCGTTTTAAGTACAAAGGGCGATGCTACCTGGCGTCCTCGTCAGCTTAGTGCGGATGGGGTTGGACCCCCTGTAACTGCACAGGTTTCGAGCTTTGCGGTTGCTGCCGAACAAGCCCCGATGACCCAATGACGGCTATAGTCAACTGTCCTGAAACCTCTCAGTTATGCGACATCTATAATTTTCTGCCTTGAAGAACCTAAATCCGGCTTCCGAGCTGCTTGGGAGATACTCCTCCAAGGATTCTGCGGCCATCCGCGATGGACCCGGGGACATCAAGCGCCTACAAGCATGCCTTAGCTCGCAGCGCACCTGTTTCGCCATTAGGATTGCAGCTGATCCAATATGCGTTTGTACATACGTGCTCCAGTTCGTCCCCAAGCCCACACGGTGGCTCTTAAAAGCTCAGTCAACCCGCACTGAAATGGCCCGTTCCTTGTTGCTAAGCCGCGGAGAAAGATATATCGTCGATCGAAAGAGAGAGCTATCTGGTCGACATCCTGCGCCATGGCCCTAAACTTTTGAAGCACCGCCATCGAACTAACCAAGGCATTCCACTGGCCTCACGAGAGCCCGGGAGCAACTCCTCCCTTCGCCGACGGTAGTGGTGGTAGTGGTGATGGTGATGGTGATGGTCGTGGTGGCGGTGGCGGTGGTGATGGTGATGGTGATGGTGATGGTGATGGTGGCGGTGGCGGTGGCGGCGGCGGCGGCGGCGGAGGCTTATTACCATGATGCCGGTGGTGATGGCGGTGGAGAGTGGGGATAGTGGCGGTGGGTGCAGCGTGAAAGCTGGTATGAGTTGGTGATGGCCGTGACTGTGGTGATATAGCAATTTATTACAAGGTGTTGTGTGTATTACATGGTCGTGGGGGTGCGTACCCAGTACCTGCAAACCGCCCAATACGAGCCGAGGGCTCAAGGCTGCCAGATCGCCTATCGCGCGCTTCAAACAAAGCAAGTAATAAAGGAGACTAACGACCAAAGGGAATGATAGAGTGCGGTAGAACCACATACGTTCCAGCATCTTCGCTAGGCGTTCAGGTTCCCACTTCGTAGCGTCCTTCATTTGCTCAAAGCTGAGTGGCGAGGTGGCACACACACTTGCTCAGACCCACCAGATCCCGTGCTTCGCCCCTACTCCTCCAGAAAGCCCCACCAGCTTTTATCTTCCCCCCAAAATGGTGTTTTCAACTGACCCCCTTTCCCCTTTCCCCTTTCCCCCGAGGGGTCGGAAGTACGCGGAATCTACGGTGCGATTCGCATTCGTTTGGTTTGCGGCATTCGTTGAGCAGCTGCAAGATGTGCGGCCAGTACGGGTCAGTGTGCGCATGCTTACAACATTATGCAATGCGTGTGGTCTGCGGCGCTGCCGTCGAGCCGCCGTACACCACGCAAACCCGTGCTGTGTGGGGTCTCCGTCCCAGAAGGGTGCGGTTGGGGGGTTGCACGCCGGTTGCGATTGCGGTCCTCGGCTGCATCCACTTCAGCGGCAGCCGCCTTTTTAATACTAACAAAACAAGTTGTAGTTTTCCTGGCAACGTAACGTTTTTGAAAGGTGATGGTTAAAGACGCAGATTTTGGTGTCGCTGGAGCTGAATTAATGCTGGTGGTGCTTGGCGCTCAGCCAATTAGTTGCGGCCCCTATGCCGACAAGGTTTCGGTCGAACTCTGTAGTTGTGAAGGCACCGTGGGGGCTTCGTTTCGCAGCCCGCCTTACTTCATTTTTGGCAGCAGGATAGCGACGGGTTTCCTTCAGCGCGTCGGATATTATACAATATTGCTAAATAATGGGAGGAAATTGATATATTGGCGAAACGACTGGCGGGAGAATCGGTCGACTTGGGAGAGGCGCAAAGTGCTCCTCGGAGGTCGCCGTACAGCGTTCAGCCTTTTACGTCAAGAGTAGGAAACGCATACGGATAACTTGGGTTATGGACGGTTTTTTGGTAACAAGGAACGACCATTTTGCGGCGATGCCGCGGTTAGCCACCTGCAGCATACTTTTCATGAAACGCCAATTTCCACACAGCCGCACATCGGCACCCTTGCAGGAAGGTTATTAGCCGAAACCTTAACCTTAGGCAACTCGCATTAAGTAATTATTATAGCAGAAGGAAGACGAACCTCGGTTTCTGGCCCAGGACTAATACGTAGGATAAACTACCGAGATGAGCTGCTACACATGTTCTCGGACTTAGTGTAGTTTAATGACAGGGATTGCCTTTAGCCAGTTTATTGGGCGCCTTGTGTTAGCGCTTACATATAGGCAACCACCGCGGCGCGGTACATGATCCGTGCTGTACTTTGTGTGATGCTCACATAACTTGCAGAATCCAATCCATTCGGTGTTTCTTTTAAGTGAATGATAATCATAGCTACTGCTGCTATAAGGATGATGGTGCACGCCGCTTTTCCCAGCTCTGTTACAACCATAGTAGCGTCGAGAATATGCATTCCCAAGCAGCTCATCGTGTACAGTAAAATGTCATGAATACTATCATCCCTGATTCTTTTTGAAATGTTGGATTAGTAGCGGAAATGCAGTAAAATCGTATTATCGTTTGTCACGGCCTCCGTCCCACCAAACGCAAGTGCTCGTGATTTCCAGGCAATTTGTTCATTTATATGTCCATTTATATGTCAAATGGGCAGAATATTATTTTGCTCCATGATTCTCTAGTTAGTACCGGATTCCACGCGCTTTTACTTGTGACATTCGTCGCCGGAGCAAGCCAAGTTTACAACTTTCTGGCGGTAACTTAAATGAAAAATTCAACGGCGGAAAGCATTGGAGTTGGACATGGTGCGTGCTAAGGTCCTGTGCCAGAGCCTACACTGTCTTGGTAATGACAAATATGGCATTTCCCTTCTCCCAAAACGTAGCTGAAGAAGAAGTTACTGCTGTTATAAGCAGTGTTGTGCAGCAGCAAGCTCTGCAGGAGCCCTGTATTGGAGAGGAGGCTGCCGTGAAGGCGACGGCAAAGACCCTGGCCGGGAGGCTAAGGGAATCCGATCCTTCTTCTGATATTGATAATGAACAAGGAGCCAGAAAAAGCAGGTCTGCCCAGAGGAGGCCTCTACGTTGTCAGGTGACTTGCTGCCTCTTGTTTCATAACATCAGAGTTTGATCCTTTGTAATAACCATGACATTCACTCTTTTAACTGGGTCCGCGCTGGGTAAGCGTGTCTGGATGTGAGGAAAGTCGAACCCCGGCTACATTACGATGGACAATACGAGATTCGCCCCTAACACACCTACTCCATTGTCACATTCAGGTTGATGGGTGTGGCGTTGACCTGACGCAAGCTCGGAAGTATTTCCAGAGATACCGGGTCTGTGAACGGCATCTAAAGTCGCCGTCTTTGCAAATGGACGGACGTAGCGTTCGGTTCTGCGACCAGTGTTCAAAATTCCATGATATTATCATGTTTGAAGGCAATCGCAGGTGCGCTGTGCTGTTGTGTGTACTGATGGACGGGCATTGTGTCTGGTATACTCTGTACTAATGGACCTAAATGCTAAAAGGCGAATGCTTTTTTTCGTTGTGTTTCTGTCAATCTCATCCTAATTTCTGCATCCAATCTACAATGGCGCACCCTGCACCGAAGGCATGTTAACTGAGGCGCCTGTGCGCACACTTTGCGCACGCACTTATCACTTCAGCTCCCGGCCGGCCCCGCTTTTACCCGGTGCTGACGCCTGCAGGACGTGTAACGAAAAGCTGGAACGTACTCGACAGGCGCGAAGCGAGAAGCGGCGTCTGCATACGGTGCAGACGGAGGGCGCAGCCAGCTGCCGGTGGGGACCACGGCGCCAAGGAACAGCCGTCCTGAAGCGGCAACACGAGGCGGACCACGACCGCGATGACAACTCCGATGACGACGGCGACCACTCATGGGTGAGTGGGTGGGGTAGGGTGCTGCAGTGAATGTGCGTGAATCTCGTGCTTTGTGCATGGGCATCATCATCCAATCCGATGGCGGCTAAGTCGCCCTGCTCCTGGGAACCCTGCTGTACACCACCCCAGATGCATGACCATCAGTTGTGTATTGGCGTAAGTACCTTGACCCTGGAAGCAATTTTTAAACCGATTAACTGGATCGCAAGGACCATAAGGACCGCGGCGTCCAGGGGGAAGTAAGCCCACCCCGCTCGTCAGCATCCCCCCCGGCGACTTGCTGCTGCTACTTTATTTGGACGCCCAATCCCGTAGGCAGCAGCCAGCAGCCATGGGTGGGGGAACTCCAAAAGCCGGTGATGAAGCAGCCACAGCCACAGGCAGACCGTGGGAATCAACACACAGCCCCGCCAAAGCATTAGAACCTTGCTGTACAAACCATCCATCATCACATACAACATATACAATGCAGTTTTGGACACGGTAGAAATGTGAACGCAAGGCATTGCATCCCTTCCGGAAAGTTCTGGTATAGACTCCGGCAGTGAGCGGGTTATACATCGTTCCCTCTTAGACTGTTGCGAGGATGGATGTGGCCCCCTGTTGATGGACGATGATGGGCTGACCCGGTTGTAATGAGATACCCACGAATCGACCAGGATCCTACAAAACCCCCAACCTCACGCAATCGCGTATGTAATACCGCTCTGTCCATCATTTCCCTAAGTATGAGGCTTGAGCATTTTCCTAACCCACCTGCCCTGCACATCCACATGCATCCGCAGGAGGGCAATAACCTGACCGGCCTTCTGAAGCGCAGCAGGCAACAGCAGCAGCAACAGCAGCAACAGCAGGGGTCACTGGCCGCTGCAGCAGTTCTTCCGCCTCCACAGAGCCTGCTGGCGCCACCACAAGCTCCCGAACAACAACAAGACACCAAGGTAAATCTCGTAGTGTTGTTTGTTTGTTTGTTTGTTCAGTTGGTTGGTCGCGTCATCCTGGGTTTTGCTGTTTATACGTTTCCGTTGGGGGTTTATAATACGTTTCTTGCAAGGCTGGTGGAAAAGAGCGGAATGTGCGGGGGAGGCATCCAGCGCCTCCCCAGCTGAAGAGAACTAGAGCGAACCCCTCAACGGCATAAGCGGGCGCAGCGGGAAGCACTGCTGTGATGGTGTCAGTCATGAAAGGAGGGCGACTTGATCCCCGGGCCAGCGACCAGGGACGTGGCGACCTGATGCGGTTTAAGGTTGGTTGGTTCGTTTCGTTCACACGGCAGGCTTTTGCCTTCCGCTGGGAGGATGTTGACAGTTCCCGGAGGCCCGTCGCCTTAGCTACGTTGCCTGCATCGCACTGTAACGATTCTGGCTTGCGGTGCGGCTACCACCCATGTCACATGCTTTCACGGTGGGTTGTGTATTGTTGTTGTTGTACCGTGGCTCAGAGCATTTTGGCGCTGCAGCGGGCAGCATTCGCGGCCGCCGTGGCCTGCGGCAGCGATGGTGGGGCCAACGGGCTCGGTACCTGCGCCCCGGGAGGGGGCCAGGTGCTCCGCCCAGTCCATCGCCATGGCTATGCCAGCGGCGGCGGCGGCGGCGGCGGCGGCCTCGCCGGTAACCACGACGGCGGCGGAGGCGGCAGCGGATGCAGCGCCAGCAGTCTTTCGTCCTGGGAGGATGGCCATCCCCACTCGCAGCTGTTGAGGCTCAACTCTGTTTCCAGCCACGGCAGCGCCGGCGGAAGCCATGAATCATACATGGTGCCGGGTACGGCGGCCGCCGCTGCCGCAGGTGGCGGCGACGGCACCAGTGCCACTGCCGTACATGGTTATCGCAACGCCATGGGGTTCCTTCGCGAGCCAGTGGGTGAGGCGCGGCACACTGGGGTCCCCAGCACGGGCGTGCCGATGGCGGCACAGACGGCGGCTGTCTTGTTGGAGCTCTCCGCCATGATGGAATGCGGAGATGGGCCGGGGCTCGGGGCGAGTAGTGGCGGCAGGGCTCCGGCGCCGGCGAGGGGCTTGGGCGGGGTGCATCAGGACCTTCGCAGCCGTACAGAAGCGTTTCTGCTTGAGGCCCTTAAAGCCGGTCGGTTAGGCTACAAAAACTTGGAAGTGCCGTACGCAGACGCTGCGCCTGCGCAGGGCCGCGTCCGGAGTGGCGATGACAAGTTGTACGCTGGTGGCCGCGGCCGCGGCGGGGGTGCACGTGCGCAGGGGCAGTCTGCGATTGTTCAGCAGCTGCAGTTGACAGCGACAGAAGATTTTGGTCACGATTTGAGATCAAGGGTGCCGTACAGCGAGGAGGCTCGCGGTCTGCGCGGCGCCCTTTACGACCGTGCTGTGAGCAGCATGGGCCGTCAACAGCAGCCGCCAATAGAAAATGATTCGTACGGCAGCATCGCCGGGAGTGCCGATGGCGACACAGACGACGTTGCCGCCGCCGTCCTGCGCCTCGTCCTCGCTTCCCTGGCGGCTCGCCGCGGCGCCGCACAAACTCACAACGACGCCGTCACGCCTGGCAGCGCTGTCTGTCGTACGGCACCCGATCCCGGTCTGCGGGACGAGCCCCTGGCGACGCCAAAGTTCATCCTGCGAAAAGAAGTGGGCGATGGTGGTCTCGGAGCCGCTGCCGGCGGGCCCGCGTTCCGTACAAGTGCAGCCGGTCTGCACTGCCGTAGACCTGGGTTCCGTGCGCCATCGCCGCCCCACTCCGCCGCCGCTGTGAGGCGTACGATGCCTGTGCTGGATCTCACCGTTGCTCCCCAAATGCGTGAGGTGGCGGCGGCGCTGCCGCCGAAGGTGGCGCCCCAGGGCGCTAGCAGCGACGTCGGACCTGCCATTGGCGATGACTCCAAATGGGAAACCAAGCGGTACTGGCAGCGGCAGCGGCAACTGCTGCAGCAAGTCGCTCACTCATCGGGGGAATACGACAGCGTCTGTCATTTGGAGCGTCATGGGGAGCACCAGCAGCGACAGCTGAAGCTCACGTACCCGCGGGCTGAGGAGGCGATGGCGGCGGCCGAGGAAAAGGAGGAGCAGCACCAGCACGTGCTGCAGCAGCTGCAGGACTTGTTGGGCTCCGGATTCGCAGCCGGTGCAGGTGCCGGCGGCGTGACGTCGACAGCGGCGGCGGCAATGCCGCCGTTACAGATACCGCGCCACAGGCAGCAGCAGCAGCACGCCGCCGCTAATGCCGTACAGCGTGAGTGGCAGAAGCGATTGGCGGAGGCGATCACCGCTCGGCAGAAGCTGGGACTGTACGGCGCATACGGTGAGGTCGACGCTGCAGCATCGCAATGGTTGCCGTTGTGTAATGAGAACGCGGAGGGCGGTTGCCAATTTAAGCAACCCCGATATATGCACGACAAGTTGCAACAGCTCTTGGGGGCTCAAGCGGTTTTGCACTGAAGTGAGGAGGCCAACGGCACCTGTCACTTCCCTCCCGCCCTCCCCCTCTGCTTGGAAGCTCTGATTGCGATGCTTGGTAGCTGCTGCTGCTGCTACTGCATCCGTTGCTGCTGCTGCTGCTGCTGCTGCTGCTACTGCATCCGTTGCTGCTGCTGCTGCTGCTAAACGCCGCATGTATACTCGCATTTCAACGCTTAAATCACAACAAGAACGAGCCTCAATCAGGAGTTTCCCTTTACGTTTTCATAATCCTGGGGCTAAGCCACTACAGCAAAGGATTTGTGCGGCAGCAGGGGCCTTGGTTTAATTGCCAAAATTGGCCGGCAGACATTTGGCGGCTTGTGACTGCTGCAGCGGTCCTGTCCCCTGTGCAGGATATGTACATGATGTACCCCTAGCACCGTTTGGGTGGTGTTGTAACGAGTGCCTTTGTTAGGTAATCCGCTTTTACCCTTTCAGGCGGATGTATTGGCATGGGAGCACACCGCATGCTAAAACCTTCCTTGGGATTCGAAAAATTGAGCGCTATTTAGGAATGATTGAAGACGTACCAAAGCTCTGGCAGTATGTTGTTATGTCTAAACTGGCCTTCGGCCGAACACGCATAAGTCCCAACATAGCTTACCATCAGTAGACGATGTGTCGTTTTGTTAATACTTAATAGGCTAGGTTGGAGTTTTACCAGCGTTAATCGGACGCGTTTAGCAGGTTTAACAGTTAAAATAGCTCGATCGGTTTTTTTTCATCGTCTGAATGATGACTATAATCAAGCTCATTTGCTATTTGTGCTGAAACTATTCAACATTCCTTCCCCACAGCAACCACCATCTTGCGCAATTCGTGCTTTACAACATGCGTTCCGTCATGTGTGGTCGACTGTTCGATGGGAAAATTCCCAAAGGGAAACACGTGGAGGAGGTTGTCAGTTGATGGTATCCCATTACTAGGTAACTCTCATATGCAGGCAGCTACACCGGCCGCTTGTGTGTGTGGTGGCGCTTTTACATGTCATCGTGTTTGGGATGTAGTTCAGTGCGATGGAGACGAGGGCCTCGGTTCGCGCAAGCGATAGCACAGCGACAGGAAATCGCACATCAGGCCCAAATCATAGCCCTCACCATCCACAGAGTAATTGTTGACTTATGGGTGCGCTTACGATCTTTTCCACTGCATTAAGCCGATCTAAGCGCGGTTGGAATACGGTTGGACTTTACCGCCCTTTCTTACGGGTTGTAGAGAGAGGACAAAATGCTTTACATGGATCCGCTCACTGACAAAGGTGATCGGTAATTCTACCCATGGGTGATGTGATCAGCTTGGTAGGGAGGCGGTCCCGTCTGTGCTTTGCGCACTTCTTCACATCGAGGCAACGCTAGTACGCTGGTATTTGTAGGCGTGAGTTTTTCAAACATAGGGGAGTTATATTGGCAAAATCTCCCTGTTGGCATCAGTGCTAGTCCGATCTTAGTCGTAGCGGAGCTTGCTGAGGTGTTGTGCGTGCGGGTGCGGACCACTTGTCCTTCCTTTCCAGGCCTGTGTCCATTTTACAGCGACAGGCGATGTGCCCTTTGGCTCGGTCTCTTTGCCTTACGTATAGAAACCTGGTAGCCCGCTGTACTAATAATAACAACAAAGGATTTGCTTCCGCGCCTTTCAAATTTTCGGCGGAAGGAATAAATTTTCACTGCCGCTGTGTTGTGGAGGAATGCTTTGGTCAGTTGCGCGACCGGCGGTGCAGAGCCCGCGTGCTTTGGGACGCTGGCCGTTTGATGATTGGCCATTCGGCTCCGCCTATGAGTAAAGGGCCGTTGGGCGTTTATCTGAGGAGCAGCGCTCGCGAGGCTCGCAGCTTGGATTTTTGCGAACTGGAAACATTACATGTTTTTTCAAACAAAAAAAATCGGCATTGAAGCCCAAGACAAGAACAGTCAAGGTAATCTTTTGACGGATTTGGCGGGGCGTTCACCCGCGCCTCGACGGAGTGACGTGCAACTGGTTCTTCCATTGACCCATTTTCCTTTTTATCCATTTTGACATGCTGCTTTCCGCTGCCTTCGAGGGGCAATCACCGGCGTAGCTCTGTTGTTGGACACGGCTGCTGAACTAACCGTCGCCGCCGGTCCGCAAATTTTAGAAAACATTATCATATTGCATGCGTCCTCGAACCCTTGGAGTTGATAATTGGGTTGTGACACGGTTCCATACAAATGAAACGGCTTACGAGACGCGATCACAGGCGCATGGCGTGTGCATGTTTTGAAGCGGTTCGACTGAATAGGAATTATTAATTATGTATGTGCTGTTGAGCTGAACCAGCTGCGAGTACATGTATGTGCCTTTTGCAAATGCTTTTCCACGTTCTTTGTTGTCCAATAGCGCAAAAAAAGAGAGCGCCCATGCCATACGAAAATTTCATAGTTATGCCCATAAGGTCTGTTTACAATATTGTCTCATTCTATCAATTTACTTAGCGCGGCGCTTGACGTGGGCTTCCATTTGTTTGGGGCTCATTCTAGCCAGCAAATGATTTCTATGACGCGGCGCCTCGCGATGTCGTCGAGGTTTCAGCAGTGACGAACGAAAATGAATATTTGTGTTGCATGCGGCACCTTGTTCGTGTCTTTTGCAAATAAAAACATTAGCGTGCCGTGTGCACGTGCTGTTCGTTGAGGGGGTTGAGGGGGTCGACGTGCAAAGCGCAGCGGACCGCCCTGTCCACTTGTGGGTCGGCGCAATGCATCTGCTGCTGTTTGCTGGCCGCCATTACCGGGCCCGGTTCTACCAATGTTCGCACCGCGGGGTGTGCGATAAGGCGTTTTGACAGAAGCACCAAGCTTCGGAGGAAAGGCCGAAGTTCACCCGTCTGCATTGACCATGTCAAATGAAAACAGGGGCCACATTATGCAACCTATCCATCATAATTTATAAACTATTTTGCTTATATACCTACATATATACGGTCTCAGGTTAGGACAGGCCGGTTTAGAGGAATGGGAGTCAAGATGTGCGTCTGTATGTTTTACCTTTTTACTCTCTGGCTATACGGCCTCCACTGTGTGTTGTGTTGTGGGATGAGAAGGAGGAGTTAGGGCAGGTGAGGGGAAAAGTCGCTTTTAAATGGATTATTGCCATCCCAGGGGCGCTGTAGAGGTACGCACGCGGCGACGCGCGTGCAACGCCTATTGGTGCTCTCTCGCAGATTTCTTGTCAACTCGTGTGGGAATTAGTGCCACGAAAATTTCGAAAGGTGCCGTTGCGATGCGCGCGCTTAGCATTGCAGATGAGGTGTCTGCATCCAGGAAAGCGTACCAGAACGCATCACGCCGAATGAGGCCACAGTCTGGCAATGACTGTTGAGGTTTAGTTTCAACCGTTATATTCTGGAGCCCTCTGGAATTGTGGCTTCCGTACTACATGTGTTGCATATCTGATCCTATATCACATTCTCGAGAGCTGTTCGAGCCATGCCTCAACAAGGAAGCCTGGTTCCTGCAGGGGGTGGGGGCGTGTCGTTGTACTGCAGCTACGTTTCCACGAGTGCATTGAGCTCGGGAGGCTGCTGCGATGTGCTCCGTGGGAGCTTGCTGGACGCGATGGGGAAGCGGGGGAGGCAAATGGTTTGGTCGCATGACGCGCACATTTGTGTAATAATGTTTAATTTTATTGACGCCGCAGGATGTCAGGCATTCAACCTTGTGTCAAGGTAGGGATGGTAGCAACGTATTTTCTTCACAGGGGCCTGGCGCATTTTAAAGTGAAAACTTTATGTTTTTGGTGTGATGATTTGACATGGTGGGAAAACTGGGCTGGGAAAGTCACGAAAGGCTGTCAGCAGCTCGAGACTGAGAGCATCGAGGGGGCACGTGGTATTAACATTCGTCGACGCATGTCGCATGGATGGGTGCGGCCGAGCGACTTGGCCGGGCGTTGAAGCTTTTGAAGGTGTGTTCCCAGGGCGCGCTGCTGTCCGGGCGCCTGGAATTTTGCGAAGATCAGTCTGGTTTGACTTGCGCGTCAGGGCATCGTACGGAAAGCAAAACCCCCCTAGCCCCCTGCCCCAGCCTCTGCTTTTGACGCGGGGTTGCGCGGTGTTGCCTCCTGGATGTGTGGACGGGCAGGCTATGACACCGTGCGGACTGCTGCTCAACGCAGTGGACATTTAATGTGGACCGTCCGGTCGATTTCGCGGACGCCGCGGGGTCCCGTGTCCTATACTACCTCCCCTTGACTTCTTAGTTGGTGCATGCTTTTTAATGCTGTTATGTACGCGTTTGCGCTGCCGTAATCTTGTCCAACCAATGGGTTGCTTGCTTGGCGCTTCATGGAATTGTTCGTGCGGACTGCAGCTTTTTTTCCAAGCCAACCAAAGGACTTGATTTGCGGAAACATATTAAACAGGAGAATGGAGAGGTGGGTGGTCGGATTGGAGAGATCGTAATGGTGGGTGGACTTGGTGGATGGGAGCTCATCGGCGTAATATGTTTCCGGAGTCCCGGCGGACAAAGCCCGTTTTCAACAAGGTTTGGGACTTGTGCATTTTTTGGTGCTTGTGGCGTGAATAAGATATAAATTTGTTGGGAAGATGTTGAGAAACTTAACAGTCCTTTTGCACTGTAGGCGTAGCTGCTGCTGTTCCGCGGCTTTTATTAGCGCTAATTATGCTTCATTTTTCTTGTTGTTTTAATAATTGTGTGGGACAAGGTTTTATCCATGCCTCATTCCAGCGTAAGGCAATGTTATTGAGCACTGTAGCAGTGGCGCTTATGTGCGGTGACGATTGCATCAGCGTATAAAAGACCCCTTGTTTCCATCCTTTTACAAGCGTGAGGGCCCGCGTGGGCGGTGCGTTGCCTGGGTGGTTGATGACGTACCCTGTGAAGGTGCTGTCGTACAGTTAAATGGTGGTTTTATCTGATAACAGAAAAGGGCTGAGGAGCTTTACCTCAGTCGCATATCTATGATAAGGTGCGGCTCGTTCAATGGACAGCTTAGGTTTGCAGGCATAGCATGTTGTGTAAAGCCCGAGCTCTTGTGTAAGCCTGCAGGAGTTCTTCGAGGGGGCGTGCAAATCGTGAAACTATTACCGAGATCGTTTCCTTATGATGATGGGTCTTATCGCCCTTGCCCCGAGGCCCAGATACCAAAAAAGTATGAAACAAGGCACAGGCGTATAACTTGCGGAAGGAGAAAACAGTTTCGTGGCGATACTGAGCGTTTCCAGACATTACGGAGTTCAGTCGCATAACTAATAATTTGCAAAAGGCTTGGATAGAAACGAGGAGCTGCCGGATTGCCCTTCGGGTATGCCGGCAAGCGGGCGACCTTATCTGCATACTCAATTAGGTTTATGAAAAATATAGCGCAAACAATAATGTGATATCGCTGAACAAAATGAGTGCAATAACCAGAGAGCTGCGTTGCTAAAGGAGAGGTCGTTGGTACCGGTAGGCGTTAATTCGGGACCTGCGGGCGATCGCCCAGGGTTCCAGAAGGCCGGACGCCGACCAGGCAAAACCTATGAACAGAAGCATAAACGCTGCCTTCGATATGAAGGTCAGGGCTTTCAAACCAACAAGACCCACCTCCACCCGAGCAGCGTGGCAGTCGTGTGCCTGCAATCCCTCCGCACTAGTACACGCGCTGTCCTCCTCATCGAAGTTTACATCTAATAAAACTTTTCAAACGGAAAATCTTGGAGAAGTTGCGGAGCGCCAGGAGATCATGGTAGCATTAAAAAGTCCTCCCGCCGGGCATAGCAGCATTTCCTCTTCTGTGGCTAAACCTGCTGCCGACAGACGCTCATACGAGGTCCTCACCGTCGGCGGAGATGGCGAAGCTCCCGGCGCACGTTTCCTGCTGGTGTCGGACCCGGAGGCGGTCTTCGCGGCTGTTTGCCTCAACATGCAGGCTGGCTACTTTGACGACCCGCCCGACGTACCCGGATTTGCACACTGGCTGGAGCATGCTGTGCATCTGGTGCGTCGGGACTGCGTGAGCCACCTTGCGGCAGCGGCTAAGAAGGCAACCCTACCGACCGAACCCTCTACAGTCGGTGCGGCGCAAACCCGCGAAACATGGTCATGGATATGTGGAGTGGGAAACAGGGCTCCAGGCAGCCGTAGCGCCGCCCCTATGACTGACGACTGACGACCCAGACCAGCGCCCCGCACGCCGCCCTCCTGTCGCGGCTCGCAAAAACAAGCAAACGGACACGCACGACACTGCCACTCAAACGCGACAACGTTGGTAATCTCTTGACGGACTCAAAACCCCATCAAAGGTATTCGTTCAACTCGTGTGGACAAAATTAATCGCGAAATGATGGAAAACAAAACAGAAATAAATGAAATCCAAAATCCAAATAAGTGTATACGTGGGTATACACACGCACATACGCGCACATGCACATCCCTCGGCGCCTTGTTCCGAGAACCGAAGACACGGCGGGACTGGGCGGCATCACGCACACGCAAACCTCCACGCCCCGACACGGGACTGCCAGACAGCCGCCTCCAAATGTCTTTTCCCCACTTTCGCCCATAACGACCGCACCTGCAGCCGCACTTTCGTACGGTGACCAACCGAACTGTACCCTATGCCGTAACTTAACCAACGACTGTACGGACAACGTCGGGCGACAGCATGCGCCACATACCGACATACGCACATACCGACATACGCACATACCGACATACGCACATACCGACATACGCACATACCGACAAACTGATATGTATCACATACGCGGCCTATGACGATCAGGCCACCCTGAGGGGGGTCCGGGAACATCCACACGTTCATCTGAGCATCACACAGAACCCTCACCATCACGCACCCTCAAAAGCAATTTCCCCTTCAGCTGCAGCCCGACTCTGGGCCTGCGGCGTCAACTGCAACTGCTGGTCTGTGTCGGTGAACATTGAGGAGGGGGGCCGCTTTTCGGGTGATGGAGTCTCGCCGGGGGGGAGGGGCCCCCGGGGCCGGGGTGGAAGGTCCGCCCGGTCAGGCTGCTTGCCTGGTCCAGGTCCACATCATCGCGCTCAAGGCGGCAGCAGGCGGCATGAACGGCGATGGCGTATGTGATTATATCTACCTAACCACCTCCTATTCTTAAACCTAAAAACCATTTTTTTAACTACCAACCGCCAACAAACTTCCTTCCGCGTCAGGGCAGTGTCCGCTATCCGGATGATAAGGATTACAAGTACTACTTATCACAGCACGGGGGCACATCCAACGCTTCCACTGGTAGGGTAGCTAGGCGCCACCGGGGTTAAAGAGGAAGTGTGTGTATGTGTGTGACGGGGTGGAGTGTGTGTGTATGTGTGTATGCCTGCCCCAACGCTACACCTGCTACTGCTAAGGCTGTTGAGAAGCCAGGCTAAGGCTGTTGATTTATTTTCGGGACGTCGTGCTCCCTGCTCCTCCGGCCTCCCCGACCACTGCCTCCAGGGATGGTGCACACCTGCTACCACTTCACAGTCGCCTCTGCGCACCTGAGGGGAGCGCTGGACCGCATGGCCAGGTTCTTCATCGACCCCCTGCTGCGGCGGGACAGCATCCTGAGGGAGGTCGGTAGGGGAGGTAGCCGCGCCTGCAACCACGTGGCTGACGGACGAATTGACGTACAGACAGACAAGCTGTGGATTGAAGTTCCGCTTAGGGCGACCTTTGGGGGGGGGAAACAGGGCTCCCTCGCCACGGGGGAGGGAGGGAGGGAGGGAGCCAAACTTGGGCCTTGGGGAGAGGGGGGTGGGAGGGCAGGCTGCTCTACATGCTCGTCCTTCACCTTACCGATGGGTTGTCCTACCGATATAGGCTATCCTACCAACCGGTTACCGGCCGGGACAAAACACGGTTGACCGTAACGGAATGGAATGGAATAGAATAGAAATTGCCTGGAACCATGCATAAGAAGTGAAGTGCCTTGTTTTACACCTGGTTCAGTGAAGCGACCAGAGCTGAGCTGCTGAGCTGCTGCTGTGCTGGCTGGTGCACCCTGACAGATGAAATATTTTCCTAACAAAAAATGCCCATGTACACATCTTTAGATTCGATTTACCACTTACACTGCAGGTAAGAGGTAAATTTTAAAACTCAAAAGGACGGCGAGGGGCGAGCCGTGTGGTGTAGCCTGTTTGTGCCCTGGCCCTTGGAGGGGTCCGGGGGGGCACAGGGGGGCTGGGCCCCCCAAGGTCGCGAGGGGGAAATGACGTGGATGAGGGACAGGAGCTGTCACTACAGACATGCTGTTATGCTGTTTGTTTGGATGCTGTATGTACGTACATACTGATGTACATACCCGTACTCACACACACAGACACACACACCGACACGCATACAGACACGCATACACACAGACAGACAGACAGACAGACAGACACACGCACACACACCGTACCGTGTGCGCGCAGGCAGAGAACATCCACGCGGAGTTCAGTCGCAACTGCAATTCCGACGCGCGCAAGCTGTTGCAACTCCGCCGCTCCGCTGCCGGGGGGCTGCTGGCCAAGTTTAGCACCGGCAACGCCGCCACGCTGCTACAGCTCCCGGCGGCGGCGGGACTGGACGTGCCAGCGGCGCTGGCGGCGTTCTGGCGGCGGCGCTACCAGGCGGGGGCGCTGTGTGGCTGTGTGGTGGGTCCCCAGCCGCTGTCGGAGCTGTCAGTACTGGTACGGGAGGCGTTCGGTGACCTGAGGCTGCGGGCGGGGGAAGGGGAGGAGGGTGGGCAGGGGCAGGGGCAGGGGCAGGGGCAAGGTCCAGGGTGTGGATTCGGAGGAAGTGGCAGCGGAGGAGTCGTCCGGCCGCACGGACAGCAAGGGCCGCAACAGCAGCTGCAGGACGAGGCGGCGGCGGGTTTGGCAGAGCCAGAGCCAGTGCCGGTAGGGGCGCCGGAGACGGCGGATGTGGGGGGAGCTGAGGAGACCGCGGCGGCGGCGGCAGCGGCGGCGGCGGCGGTGCAGATTGGGCGGAAGGAGGAGGGGGGAGTGTCCGCGGCCGAGATTGTGAGTGAAGGCATCCACGACAGCGGCAGCGGCACCAGCAGCACCAGCGGTGGCGGTGGCGGTGGCGATGGCGCCGCAGCTGAAAGGTATAGCTTTGAGGACATGTGCGGTCCGGGGCGACTGGGTCGCCTCTTCCACGTGGCTTCACAGCGACAGCTCCGGCAGCTGGAGGTGGTGTGGTACCTGCCGTACGGCATGATGGAAGACATAAGGTACGGCAGGGGTGACATCCGGCATACACACACAAGGGGGTGGGGGGTTTCGAAGGTCTTTTGCTTGGGACTGGACCGGACGGGGGCGGAGCATGATGCGACCCCGGTTGCGAAAAATGCGAAAACGATTTTACGGACTAGCCAGCAAGTCCGAAAAGCCACGGCAGCTGCCGGATTCCAAAAATCAACGACAGGACTGCCCGGAGGACAGCTGTGCTCTCCGGATCGAAAACCCCACCCAGTTGGTGGCGGTGGACGATTCCAAAGACCACTTTTCCCTAGTTGACATCCGCTGTGTTTCAAGCTGGTAAAAGCACAAAAAGAAGTGGCAGCCATCTCCTCCCGAGCCCTGCTGCATCCGCACCCCTCTTCTTCGCTGCCATTGCTGCATCTCCATCGGCTCCCCCTCGGCGCTTCACCTCCCCCCGCACCCCCCGCTGTCCTCCCCTTGTCGCCCTCCCTACACTCACACACATGTTCACACATGCACACACGCACAAACTCCTGCACCTCTCCCCCCACACACACACGCACACGCACACGCACTCCCGCACCCAGGAGTAAGCCGTGGCGGTGGGCGGGTCACGTGCTGGGTCACGAGGGTCGGGGCAGTCTGGCTGCACTGCTGCGGGGCGCGGGGCTGGCGCAGGAGCTAACCACGGGGCCGTTCGACGAGGTGAGGGGATGGGGGGATGGGGGGATGAGGGGATGAGGGGATGGGGGGATGAGGATATGAGGGGATGAGGGGATGAGGGGATGAGGGGATGGGAGACAGCACAGCACAGCACGTCTCCCCCCCACACCCACATACACATCCTGCCCACCCACCCCCCACCCCACCCGGTCTCCGTGGGGTCCGCAGGTCCGTCTGGGTCGCGGTTTCCTGTTCTGGGGCGTGACCGTCACCCTGTCGGAGGCGGGTCTGCGGAGGGCGGAGGATGTGGTGCGACTCGTGTTCGCGGCAGTGCGGGTGAGAGGAGCGAGTTTGGGAGGGGGAGGGGAGGGGGAGGGGAGGGGGAGGGTGTGAGTGTGTGAGGGGGTGAGGAATAAGGGAAGATGGGAAGGAGGGAAGGGAGAGGGGGAGGGAGGACGCCACACGTCAGCGTACGGAAAGGTAGAGGGAGCGGGTTGCTGCTGCTGTAAGCAATCTGTGTCTTTGTTTGTCTGTATGTATGCCTGTTTCCCGTATATTTGTTTCATCTCTATCTATCTATCTATCTATCTACCTATCTACCTATCTACCTATCTATCTGTTTTCCTCATGTATCTATCTGTCTATTATATCTATATGTCCGTCTGTCGCACGGGAAAAGGCGATGCGGTCGCTTGGTGAGGAACAGCGGCGGTCGGTGTGGGGGGAGGTGGCGGCTGCCGCTGCTGTACGGTGGCAGTACCAGGACCGTACGGCGCCGCTAGACCTCGCACGTGACGTGGCGCAGCGACTGCACTACTTCGAGCCGGAGGTAAGCGGGCTGGGCGGGTGGCTGAGAGGCAAGGTGACCTGCCGTGAACGTGGTTCAGGGTTTTGGCATTATTAAAATGTTCGTACGTTCAGGGGGGTCAATGTGAGGGAGAAGTTTGGGGTGAGCATCGTGTAAAGGGGGGTGGGGGAAATGCTCGTGTGGCGGAGGGGGGAGGAAAAAAAGTACTACTAAAACGTCGGAGGCGATGGGTTTTGTTTTCTGAGAAGTTGAGAACAAGCTTTTTATTAGGGGGTTTATTGTTAGGTGGTGGGTTGGACTTTGGAAATCGGAGTTGTGTCGGCGGTGGGGGATCTGTGCCAGATGGTGACGTGGCGGTGGGGGATCTGTGCCAGATGGTGACGTGGCGGTGGGGGATCTGTGCCAGATGGTGACGTGGCGGTGGGGGATCTGTGCCAGATGGTGACGTGGCGGTGGGGGATCTGTGCCAGATGGTGACGTGGCGGTGGGGGATCTGTGCCAGATGGTGACGTGGCGGTGGGGGATCTGTGCCAGATGGTGACGTGGCGGTGGGGGCGTTATCAGGTCAGTGGACCTGTGGGTGTGTGGGATCGGCGCTATGGATGGAAATGGGTTTGGGAATGCAATTGCGTGCTTCGGATGTCGTAGATTTTATCGCCAAGATTTCCTTTTTCTCTTTTTCTCTTTCCCCTCCCCCATCGATTGACTTTCATGCGGCCCCCCTAGGCGGTGCTATCCGGCAACGCCCTGCTGTACGAGTACGACGGAGCTGCCCTGGAGCGCTTCTTGTCGTACATCACGCCACAGAACTGCAACGTGTTCCTGAGTGACAGTTTCCTGTCGGACCGCACTGACCGGGTGGAGCCCTGGTGGGTGAGCGGGGTGGGGGTGGGTGGGGGGGTTATGGGTATCCATGCGTCCCGCCAGTTTTCAACTTTCAAACATTTAAAGTTACAAATGTTGTTGTGAAAGTTTAAAAGTTTTCAGACTTTCAGATTTCGACCTTTAAAAAACCTTTGAACGTTGGAAGGTAAAGAAGGAGATAGAAAAGATGGAAATGGCACATAAAAGTAAAACGACTGTTGGGGCGCTTCTGCTGCCCCACCTCAGAGCTATACTTATTACTTGATACCGGCCGCGGCCGCCGCCGCCGCCGCCGGCCCCTTTTTTAACTTGTTTGGTCGCCAAATGCATTTCTCTCTGTGAAGGTACGGCGCACGGTACAGCGTGGAGCCCCTCAACTTTGAGCTGTATGACAGCGACGCAGCGGCATGTGTCGCCGGTGGCGGTGCTGCGGCCGCCTGCAGCTCCCCCGCCTCCGCCTCCGCCTCCGCCGCACATGACGATGATATTGTTGGCGAGGTGGGTGACCCGGACGACCCGTACCCGCTGCTGGCGTCTCGGCTGCGGTTGCCACAGCCACCGTCCTGGGCCTTACCCGTCGATGTACGGCTGGTGTCAGAGCCAGGCAGTGGCAGCAACAGGATCGTAAATGGCGGAGGCACTTCGTCAGAGCTGGGTGAGCAGCCGCCGCAACAGCAGCAGCAGCAGCAGCAGCTGGCGGCGCAAGGTACGGCGACCGAGGCGGTGGCGGCAGTAGCAGCGGCGGCGGCGCCAGGTCGTGGTGATGTTGGAGTTGGAGTTTGTGTTGGTGTTAACGGCGGTAGGGGCGGTAGCCCTTCGCCTCCAGTCCTGTTGGAGGACAGCGAGTCTGTACGGCTGTGGCACCGTACTGATATGTCGTACGGAGTACCCAAGGTGCGGACCGGGGGGATTGGGGGGTTATGGAGTGAAGGATGGGGCACCTAAACACACACACCGATGTGTTTACAAACCCCCCAATCCCCCGGAATTTACCTGAACCTGCTCCCAAACCCCCTTCACACATACAGACATACATACACGCACACACATGCAAAGCGTCGCATGCCCTCGCACATCCTCCGAACAACACCTAGTAATTCCCGTTGATGCTGCTGCTACTGCTGCTACTGCTACTACTGCTGCTGCTGTTACTGCTGTTGCTGCTACGACATCATTACTCTTCTCCAATCAACATCTACTTGAAAAATTCAAAAGCAGCTACGCCAACAGTTTTATATGAGCATTTTAACACACACACACACACCGGCCTGCGCATTATTGATTCCTTACCGTTGGGGCGGAATTGGTGATATTGATATTGTTCGTTTATCTTTTACGAAAGCCCCCTCAATTTCCCCACGTCCTATGTCGTAATACTTAGTTTACATAAATGCCCGCGCGTCCTTGTCCCTCATCCCTCACCGCATCTCCTTCAGCCTGACGTACAAATGTACGGCGTTGTCGGGCCGGCATCCGCCTCCCGCCGCACGCATCTCCACGCATCCATCCCAATACTGTCGTGTCTTTCAGCGCAGGTACACAAGTGCCGCAATCGCTTTGATTAGACAACATATGCAAATATGTGCAAACATGCGCCAACATAGCCAACTAAATGGAAAAACACGTTGCATGGCAATCCCAATCCCACCCCCCAATCCCAACCCCCAACAACCCGCCGGCCCCCCGCGGGAACACCGTAGACTCATGTGTATGTCCACCTCATCACCCGCGCCGTGTACGAGACCCCGGATGCCTGGGTTACTGCGCGCCTCGCGTGCCGGCTGCTGGAGGAGCTGCTACAGCCGGACGTGTACGACGCCCAGCTCGTAGGAACGAGCTACAGCCTGTCTGCATCCGAAACCGGATTGCATCTGTCCTTCCATGGCTTTAGCGACGTGGTGGTGAAGCTCGTGGAGATGGTGGCGGCGGCTATGGCGGGAGTGACTCTTGCGCAGGTTGAGGGGAGGTGGGTCTGAGATCTGCGTGTGTGCGATTGTGTGATTGTGTTTGTGCTATTGTTGTTGTAGTTGTAGTTGTAATCGTAGTCGTCCATTTTTTTAATCATCAGTAACTATTTTTTGTTATTGCCTTCGCGTCCTTTTGATAAGTACGGATAAGTACGGCTTTGACTTGATACTGTTGTCGTTAACTAGATAGTTGTTATTTCCTGTCATGTGGATATTATTATTACAGTATACGTGTATTTCTGTATTCTGCTTGTCGTTGATCCTTGTTGTTGGTCTTCAATGATTTTGCTGCTTGTTACGGAAAAGAAACATTTGTTCAGGTAGTTTGCGTTTAGGCGGCGTCAGTGATTTTTTTTCATTTAGTGGGGGTCTCAATTTATTCCGACCTAAGTAACAAAGTTGCTAGCGTCGCCGTAATGTATTCCTTAAGTGTGGGGCGCTGGGGG